TGTCAGCCTCTTTCTTTGGCCTCTCAGCTTCCTCGGACTTTAGGGGTAGGTTGGCATAAGCCTGCCCACCACAAACTACTGTCTTTCGTTCTGTCTCTGTCTCTCGATTCCATTGGTTCTGCTTCTCAAATTTTGGTGAATTTTATGACACGCGCAACCCAAACCATTTGCCACTCAATCCCAATTCCAAGTTCAAGACTGTTATGTGTCTTTTTGAGTTGGAGTCTCACTCTGTTGCCCAGGCTGGAGTGCAGTGGCACACTCATGGCCACCCCAGCGTCAACCCGCTGGGCTCTGGGGATCCTTCCACCTCAGCCTTCCAAGTAGCTGGAACTCCAGAGGTGTGCACTACCACGCCTGGCTAATTTTTTGACTTATTGTAGAGACGAGGTCTTGCCAAGTTGCTCGGGCTGGTCTTGAACCCACGGGCTCAGGCAATCCACTCGCCTTGGTCTCCCAAAGTGCTGGGATGTCAGGCTGAGCCACCGAGCCCAGCCAAGACTGCTATGTTATACATCAGCTTAGCACTAAGGATTCATCCTCAAGTCGAGGCGGTCCTCACAGACCCCCATGATCACATGACCATGTGTTTCTCATAAAGCCTGAGTCACTCCTATTGACCCGCAGGGCATAGAAGTCTCATCTCAAATTCAGGCTCCCAGGGTTTAATGCCCCTCAGCAGCCAAAACGTTCTGTTTCTGCATCTGGGCTATAGCAGTGGGTGAGGAGGAGGCTGGAGAAGACCATCCAGCAGATGAGGTCATCAAGCACTGCCCACGGACCACCACCGCCACATGGAAGGCATCAGCAGTCACGCTGGATTCGACACGCAAACAAAATGCAGTCCAAGGGAGACATTCCTACAATGGCTCTCCGTGGAAAGAGAGCTGGTCAGGAGTCTGGAGACGTGGTTTCTATTTCCCATAGGCTGCATAAGCTTGGGCAAGATATTCAATTTCTGTATTTCTGTTTCTCATCCATGAACCGAGCCTATGAAATCAACCCATAACTACGTTCTTTTCAAGAGTTAAAAACTGAGCCGGGCTCGGTGGCTCAGCCTGTAATCCCGCGCCTTTGGGAGGCTGAGGTGAGTAGATTGCCTGAGTCCACGGGTTCGAGACCCGCCTGGGCAGCGAGACCTCATCTCTACAATAAATCAAAAAATCAGCCAGGAGTGGTAGCGCCTGCCTGTAATTCTGGCTACTCGGAAGGCTGAGGCGGAAGGATCACCGGAGCCCAGCAGGTCGAGGCTGCAGTGGCCGGGAGCGGCCACTGCACTCCAGTCTGGGCGACAGAGTGAGACTCCAACTCAAAAAAAAACTGCCCAAAATCTCCTGGTCTGGCTCTGTTTTCCTTGCCTCCTCTATCGACTGGGGTTGGTGACATGCCATCCTGGTGAAGGGCGTGGAACGACAGAGGCAGCCTGTCTCTCGAGGAAGGCAGGATACGCTCACGCCAGGTCAAGCGGGCAGGGAAAAGTTCTCGTTTCTGTGTTACCATCTCACTTACCGAAATTTCTCCTGTCTCAGATTTCAGACCAGCAGGTCTCTGGGTGGGGAGGCCCATGGGGATCACTGCAAGAAGGAGTTATTACTATACCTGCCATTGGGATGACTGTGACTTTTCGACAGCTCACTCTTGCAGAACAAAGTTTAAGTCCCCGTCTGCCACCAGATCCCTCTGAGGCTCCCTTCTGGGCTCCACTCCTCCCTGGCTGGTCCCTCTTCTGAAGCCCTGACCACTGCCCCCATGTGACTTTCTGCTCACGTGTCCCTCGCCTGCAAGCGAAGGGGCTAACTGGGGCCAGGACCATTTCTCGTTCCTGCGACACAGAACCGAAGTATCACACCGTTGAAGTTCACTGAATGAATGAAGGATCTCTTCCTTCACAGAAGCTGAAATGGAGCAGCAGAAAGTTGACACTTGTCCCCGGGAGCCGGGAGAACGCACCTGATGTAGAAAAACAATCCTGAGCAGAAAACCCTTTTCCTAGGTCGACAGGTGTCTTTGTGCTTCTCTAACAAGTTCAAGGTTAAACCCGCCCTTCCTCCTTCAACCACGATGGTAACTGGTGACGGTGATTGTCTAGTCTTCACCCGTATCATCATATTGACACACCGCCATCCCCCTGAGATGAGCCACTGTCACTACCCTCCCCTTGCAGGCGGGAAGAGGAGAGACAGGGATGATAAGGAAGCAGCCCAGCATCACGTGGCGGGTGCACAGTGGAGGATACTGACCCCAGGGAGCGAACATTTAATACGCCATTTAATAGCGAACATTCTATACCTAGTTCTCCCTCTCGGTTTTGGGGAATCCTTGCTTCCATATTACCCAGGCCTCTGTTGGATGTCGGGCCCCAGTTCCTACTAGGTTTGTGGAGGAACTAAGCCCCAGCAGACACAGGTCAAAGCATTACCATATTAAAATAATCTCACAGCATGAAGGGAAGCCAGTCATACATAAATATGGATATTCACAGCCTGAAGCCCCAACTCCACCATTCACCAGCTCAGATTCAGTTTATTCAGCTGCAAAGTAAAACAAAACATAAAAATTCCTGCCCGGGCCGCCTCCCAAAGTTGTTATGAAGTTGCAGCAAGACAGGAAAGAGCCTTCAGAGCCTGTGAAGGTCGCCACATCTCATTCCTACGCACCAGCACCTGAAGGCGCTGGAAATTCCTTTCCAGCAGCTCAGGTTTGTCCAAAGCCAAGGCCCTCGAGGACTAAAAGGTGACAGTCTGAATGCAAATGCCACCCTGAGAACCACAGCAGGGGCACAACTGGACTCGCAGGTTCTGGAAGGTTCTGGAAGGGAGCAGACTGAATTCCCCTCCTGACACCCTGTAACACGCGCACGGGGTCAAAGTTATAAAAGACAATAGAGGGCCACTGGACACCACAACAACTACACTCCAGCTTCAGAACTCCAGATAAGAACGCCGAGGTACGGCGAGGAAGAGGCCCGTGGCAGGGCTGCTCCACCTGGGGAGAGACAGGACCCCTCCAGTCTCTCCCTCGGACAGGTAAGTGTTTAAATACGGGGCAAACCTTGGACATGGCCTCCATCCAAAGTTATGTTGAAATGTTAGCCTGAGGAGTTTATTACCATCATGTGGGTACAGCACGGTCGGTGAAATACATAAAATAAGCTTCTTACCCCTTCTCAGACACAGCGCCCATTACAGCCACGTTACAAGAAGTAGCAGTGCCGTGACAGGCCTTCCATCCCCAGGTGAGTTCCACGCGTGCCCCATCACCTTGCCAAGGCGGGCCTGGGTGACACAGGCCACCGACGCAGTCATGATCCACGCTGGCTCCCAAAACACAACTCAAAGCTGGCTCTGAGCAGGTGACCTCATCTTAGGTGACGGCTTTCTTATTTCAGAAAGGCAGTTCCCTCAGGATGCCAGGAGAGGGCAGGTTTCCAAGGAAACAGGACAGCAGCAACCATTTGCTAGGAAGCTGAAGGACAGAGGCCCCGGGAGAGCGCCAAAGAACAGAGCCAGGAGTTGCTGGGTCCATCTGGAAACCATCATCTCTCGGGACAGATGACTCAGGGGTCACTGAGCAATCTGTTCTAGGGCTTGTACCAAGTCACCCACCAGTGAACAAAAATCTCACGGTTCTCCATGTTCCATGTGGGCATCTCTCAGAGATGTGGAAACTGAGTCACAGATATCAAACTGCTCCCTTACTGATGGGGGCCGAGAAAAATAGAGAATGAGAGAGAAACTGAGAGGCCGGGTGCAGTGGCTCACACCTGTGATCCCAGCACTTTGAGAAGCCAAGGAGGGAGGACTGCTTGGACCCAGGAGTTCCAGACCAGCCTGGGCCACACAGCCAGACCTCATCTCTGCAAAACATTTAAAAAATTAGCTGAGCGTGGTGGCATGCACATGTGGTCCCAGCTACTCTGGAGGCTGAGGCAGAAGGATCGCCTGAGCCCAGGATGTCAGGGTTGGGGTAAGCCGTTGATGGTGCCACTGCACTCCAGCCTGGGTGACAGGATCAGACTCTGACTCAGAAAAAAGGCAAAAAAAAGAGAGATGGCGAGAGACAGAGTCAAGAGTCAGAAAACACAGCAGAAATCAGAGGAGAACGCAAGAGAAATGGAGACACAGAAATGGGAAGGCAAAGGGGAGACAAGCTCTTGCCCATCACCTTGGTGACGTAAAAGGGAGAAGGAACAGGAGAAAAAAGGGAGGAGCCTTTTACAATGTTCATTTCAGATCAGCCTATGATCTACCATCAAAGTCAACTACGTACAACGTCGGGCATTCTGTACAAGGAGCTAACTCTAGGCATAAAACATGGGGTGTGAGTGTCCAAATCCGTGGGGTCAGCAGCAGGTAACAGTGGCACTTTGAGAGGCGTGTCATGGGACATCCCCCAGAGAAGTGCTGGAAGCTGCACTTGGTCAATCAGTTTCCAAGAACCTTCTCAACAGACCCCCCGACTCCTAACAGAGAACCAGCCTCAGCCCAGAATGCACTGAGACGGTGTATCAGGCACCAAAAAACCTGGAAGGGATCGTGTCTGGGGCATCCGGGCACCCTACGAGGCTGTCTTACCCGCCCCCACCGAAACTGGTACCAGTCTCGGAGGGGAGGCGCGTTTTGCGACTTCACGTTCCCCGGAAGGATTCTGTGGCAGGTGGAAACTGAACTCATCCGTGGATGCGCCTAGTTTATTTCGACGGCATCCAATCAAATCCAACTTTTTTCTACGGGGGCTGGGGAGGTGGGTGTGCCCGCCCACCCCGTCTCTGCCGAGCGCCCGGCTTTAAATAGACACTTGCAAGGCCAAGGCAGTGGAACAAAGGGAGGAAACTGGAGCTCCCTGCCCCGCTGGCCTGTAATTAGGTTAATGTCGGAACGTGGTGAGCGTGGCCCACTTGGCATGAGGGTCTGGAAAAGGAGGCGCCCTCCCCAGTGAGGGGGCCCCCTTCCCCCCAAACCTGCCCGCCCGCCACCGGACGGCCAAGCCGCAGCGCTCACCCTTCTTCCGGGCCTGGGCAATGACCTCGGCCGAGCTCTTGCTCATCACCTTGGTGACGTACAGTGGGCAGTTGGTCTGGTTGGCGATGGTGATAGAGCGATTCACAGCTTCAGCCTCGACCTGCAGAAGAGTGGAAGAGCGTGAGCACGCAGTCCAGCCCAGCCCGCAAGCCTCTGCTGTGTCTTCCACCCCGAGAGAGGCTGAGATGAATGCGAACGAGAGGCTGCAGAGTCCCCAGGGCTCTAGAGACCATCTTCTATGGGGACATAGGGCTTGCACCAACTCAGCCACCAGTGAAAAACATCCCACAGCTTTTTCTGATCCCACAGAGACACAGAAACTGAGCCATAGGGGTCACGTTGCTCCCTCACTGTTCTCTTACTGACGGGGAATAAAAGAAGGCCGGGCATGGTGGCTCACACCTGTAATCCCAGCACTTTGGGAAGCTAAGGTGGGAGGACTGCTTGAGCCCAGGAGTTCCAGACCAGCCTGGGATAGTGAGACCTCATCTCTACAAAAAACGAGCCAGGCGTGGTGGCACACACCCATAGTCCCGGCTACTCCAGAGGGGGAGGCAGAAGGATCGCCTGAGTCCAGGAAGCTGAGACTGTGATGAGCCATGAGCGTGGCACTGCAATCCTGCCTGGGCAACAGAATGAGAGCCTGACTCAAAAAAGAAAAAGACACACAGAGAAAGAGCAGGAGAGAAAGAGGCTGAGAAAGACAGTGCCCTCAAGGGACACGGCAGGGGGATGTGACTTGCCCGGGGTTTGGTTGAAAGGATGGAGTTGCTCCTCCCTGACCTTTCTCCAGGTGTAGCCAGCAAGCCCATAATATCAGCATCTGCTCAGTCTCAAGAGATGCAGATGCCTGGGTTCTGTTCCAGACACACAGGACCATTAAGCCCTGGGGGTGGGACCAAGCCATGGGGTGACTTTTACGCTCGCTAACATCTGCGATCCACCAAGCACAGACACACAGACTGCTCTGAGTTCAGTGTATTCAATTCTGTTCTATGGTCTCGAGTTCAGATATTCAGTGATGTGGTTTTGTGCCAGGCTTCCATCAGATGCTCGCGAACGAAGCCAGCATCACCCACAAAACAACGTGGCCTCACAGGGCTCTAGGCACAGAGGCACAGCATCTGTCTACACCAATGGCTCCCTGTGTATGAAGCATGAACTTGGCCGGCCTGCCAGCCACAGCCTGGTACAACCCATGGGTGGAAGATGGGAGGGCTGCTCAGATAAATAACCTGGCTCTGCAATGCTGACGCCTCGATGAACGATATTTCAAAGATCCCATGTCATGACTACTGAATACCCGATCAGGCAAGACTCCCTGGCTCAAGTTCTATCTTACAGTGAAATCAGCAACAGGCACGCAAAGGAGCAAGTGAAACTGGAAGCGGGGAGCTCAAAAGGCCACTGCCTCCCTCCCCACATCCTGGCAAAACGCGACAACTTGAATTCTCGGAGGGGAGAGTTTGTGCCCTCCACGCCCAGGCCCCAAGCATTCCCAATGCCGCGCCTGGCACACAGCAGGTGCTCAGAAATGTTTGCTAGGCAAATAAATGACTTCACATTTGTATCAATGGTATTTCAAGCGAGGCTGCCCCACAGAGCGCTACTTTTTGCAAGAAATAACTGAGCCCCTGGCTGAACGAACTTAGCTACCTACCTCGTCCCCACCAGAGCTCGGCCAGGAGATTAAGTTCCATAATGATGTTAACTGCTAATCTAATTTAGCAAAGCCGAGACAGCTTCATGCACGTTTGGCCTTTCGGGCATCAACTGTGAAGAGAGATGTCTTAGAAATTCACAGGCCACGCCAAGGGCTCTTGAGAAAGCTCATTAGACATCCAAGTGTTTTTAATTCCTGGAATAGCTGAAAGTCAGGCCCTCCCTCTCCTCGGCAGGCTATGACAGCAGTCAGTGCCTCTGGTCCCAGGAGCACGGGGCAGGGATGTCCCAGGTCAGTGTGAGTGTCTGAAGGACTTCACGAGATTCCTCGGCGCTTCCCAGAGATGCAGGCGACTACCCAATTTATTGTCCCAACACAGACACTTCTGGAAGGGGAAAGAGGCGCTATTGGTAACCCTAAGAGCGACAGATACAGAGCAGGACTTCCCTGGGCAAACCAAAACGAGTACTCGGACCAATTGGGGGGTAAAATGAGTGAAATGCCAGTTTTAGGTCTGGCTAGCTGGACGTGGTGGCATGCACCTGTAGTTCCAGCTACTTGGAAGGCAGAGGTGGGGGGAACGCTGGAGACCACGAGTTTAAGACTGGCCTGGACAACATAGCAAGATGCACTTCTCTAAATAAAACAGTAAACATTTTAAAAATTAGCCAGATATGGAGGTGCACGCCTGTAGTCGCAGTTACTCAGGAGGCTGAGGTGGGAGGACTGCTTGAGCCCAAGAGTTTGAAACTACAGTGAGCTATGACTGTGCCACTATGTCACTATACTCCAGCCTAGGCAACAGAGTGAGACCCTGTCTCCTTAACAAAATGGCCGGCTTTGGTCAGAATTCAGGTAGTACCAGAGATCTGTCTGGACTTGTCCATCTGCTATGAGGTGAGTCTGAACCTTATCCTTGCCCCAACCCAGCAAGAGGCCTGCCGTTGGCTAGCTTGTTAAAGAGGATGTCATTTAAACCCATTTCTTCCCATTGCACAGAACATTTTGCCCTCCTGTGTTTATGTGTATATGTCTCTGAAACAAAACATAAACTGTTTTACACAATACCAAACTCTGTAAATAGTATCGCTTGTCCAGACTGGGCAACATAGCCAGACCCTGTCTCTACAAAAAAGTCAAAATATTAGCCAGGAGTGGTGGCATGCCTGTAGTTCCAGCTACTCAGGAGACTGAGGCAGAAGGATTATCTGAGCCCAGGAGGTCAAGGCTGTGGTGAACCACGATTGTGACACTGCACTCCAGTCTGGACAACAGAGTGAGACCCTGACCTCCCACCACCAAAAAAGGTATAGCTTGAAAATACTATGAAAATAGCAAGATAGTTTAAAAATAAAATCTCCTCACTCATTGTAGAGCTCTTAAAGATCTGGAAGGTCACCTAGTCCCACCTTCTGATTTCAAAGATGAGGCAATCCAAGACCCAGAGAGGGAAATGACCCATCTGGAGACACACAGCAGTCAGTGCCCCTGTAATCCTGTAAAACCTGCTGCCAAGTCCCCATCCCCGTGAAGGATCCTTCCTTGCTCTCATCTGCACCCCAACTCTCTTCTCAGATACCAGAGTCTCGTAGCTGGTCCGGCTCAGAATCCTCATTATATTCTATCCTCTGCACCTGCTTCTTCCCCAGCCTGGTCCAGATTGTCCTTCCAAAGGGACCCCTGGCCAGGCACGGGAGCTCATGCCTGTAATCCCAGCACTTGAGGCGGCTGAGGCAGGAGGATCACTTAAGACCAGGAGTTCAAGATCAGCCTGGGCAACATAGCGAGACCCTATCTTTCCAAAAAAAAAAATTAAACCAATAAAAAGGATCCCTTTCTCCCTCCCTCTCTGCTCAGGACCTGGCTGCCTGGATCAGCACACCGGCTCCGTCAACACTCCTCCCAGCCACGGACAGGTGAGCTCTAGATTTCCACATTCTCTACATTTTTCTTTCCAAGCTTCTCAGCTAGGGGGAAAAAAAAATTCCAAGTGGTCTCACACGATAAGTTGAGTAGAAAAGCATATAGAGTGGCAGGTTTCGGAAGAGTCAAATAGAGTGAGCCATCAGGACACTTGTGACGGACAGGTCACCAAACTGTAGAAAAGCTAAATTTCGGTACGTTCTTGACTACTGTTTCAAATACCTTGGCAACATCTCCCTAAGTGGATAGAAAAGCTCAGAATGTTTCATACCATATTCTCTTTTTTTTTTCTTTTGAGTCGTGGTCTCCCTCTGTTGCCCAGGCTGGAAGGCAGTGGCACAATCACAGCTCACCGCAGCCTCAATCTTCTGGGTTCAGGTGATCCTCCCTCCTCAGCCTCCGAGTAGCTGGAACTACAGGCATGCACCACCATGCCCAGCTAATTTTTTGATTTTTTTGTAGAGGTGAGGTCTTGCTATGTTGCCCAGACTGGTCTTGAACTCCTGGGCTCAGGCAATCCTCCCACCTTGGCCTCACACAGTGCTGGGATTGCAGGCGTGAGCCACTGCACCTGGCCCAAATTGTACTTTGTTTTGCCCACACAGGGTCTAACACACAGCAGATACCTCTTTACAAAGTGAAAAATTGTCACCTGTAGCTGAGAGAGAAGGCTCTAGTGGGTATCGAGGGGCTTGATGAATTCTAATTCTGCCCTGTCATCATGCAAGCCTCCAAGAGCCCCAGCATCTTCCCGCCTCATGGTCTGTCACAAGAGTGAAACTACTCAGGCAAGCACCATGGAGGTGCCGCCACACCCAGTGAAAAACAGATTCCAGGACTGGTGTGTCCCCAGACCCACCAGCTCCCAAAAGAGGCTCCATAATTAGTCACTGGGAACTCTGAAATTCTCAGAGCAACAACTGTTAGAAGAGAATTCTCCCGGGCCAAACCGTGCAAAAGCAGCTCTAATTTTTCTGGTCAAAACAGCAACCAGAGCAACTCCTCTCTGAAAGTTTCTTCCTGTTCAGCATACCCAGGGCGGCTTGCTGTCTGCCTGGGTTCTGCTCTGCAGACAACAGGGAAAGGAGGAGGCAAGACCTTGGAAGGATGTGTAACCTGGACAGGACCGTGGGTCTCAGAAGCAGCCCCGTGCGGCCAGGATAAGTGGCATCTCCTTTCTCAGAGGGCACCATGTTCTCACCTCCCTGAACAATTAAAACGGGGAGGGAGGTTGTTCCCCAGTCAACAAACCGGATGAAGCCAAAAGTAAACTTTCTAATATATTTTGGGTTTGAGTGAGATCTTGCTCTATCGCCCAGGCTGAAGTGCAGTGGCATGATCATGGCTCACCAAAGCCTTGGCCTCCTAAGCTCAGGTGATCCTTCTGCCTCAGCCTCCCAAGTAGCTGGTATTACTTGCACGTGCCACCACACTCGGCTAATTTTAAACTTTGTAGAAAGCCAAGTTCCTGCCGGTGTCATCTGGTGCAAGGGCCCACTGGCTGTGAGCTGAGCATAGGCTTTGTGTGTTTGTGTGTGTGTGTGTGTGTGTACACGGGGTGTGGGGAGAGAGCAGGTCACTGCATTTCTAGCTCTTTGCCTTGGTAAATGTACAGTCACCTCACTTCACGCCAGCAATGTCCTCACCTGACAGACAGAGATAACCAAGGGTCTCACCGCAGCACCACGTGTGGGGAACAGAATGCCAACGGTGGCCCCCCTGCAAGTGTATGAAGAAAGCTCTCCCGTGTCCCCTGCACAGACAGTTACAATGTAGAGGCGGCAGCCACGCACACAGCCCCGGCACACGTGGGCACTGAGGGAAGGCAGCTTCGGCCAGGGCTCTCAGGAGACTGTGTCACCCTTCGGCTTCTCCTAAGACTGACCCCAAAACCCTTCCAGGGCTGAATGCAGGGCCAACCCCAAGGAGGCCGGGGCTGAGGGTGATCACGGTCCAGGCCACATGTGGGTTGAAACACCCTGACATGTAGATCCTGGAGAGTCTGGTCACAGAACCCGGCCTGGAAGAAAAACAAAGCCACAGAAAGGAATCCTGGGGGTGTCTGTGAAAGTGACAGTGCCTACAGAGGTGTGTACGTGCGTGTGCGCGCGCGTGCGCATGACATGCATGTGAAAAATGTGTGTACATATGTGTTGCATGTTCATATCTGTGGGCATGTGTGTGTGTGAATGTTGAGTGTGTACACACGTGTGCATAGCCATAGCACGGGGCCTGGTAACCTCCCATACCCTCAGGCTGGCTCCTGTCCATCCTTTCAGCTTTGACATGCACGGGGTGCTGGATGTCAGCAAAGGACCTGCCTCTTGGGCCAGGGCCACACAAACTTGAACGTTGGGGCTCAGTCCTGTCATCTGGGAGAAGAAATGTCCTCAGGGCCTCAGATGGCACTGAAGGTACAGTGAGGGGTGTGTATGTGTGTCTGTACCTGCATGGGTGTTTGGTGTGTCTGTGTTCATGCCTGTGTATGTCTGTCTGTGTATCTACATGCCTGTGTATGTCTGTGTGGTTGTGTATATCCATGTATATCTCTGTATCTATGTGTCTATGTATGCTCATGTCTGTGCATGAACATGTCTGTATATGTCTGTGCCTGTGTGTGTCTGTGTATTGTGCACTGTAAGTCTGTGTGAATGTGTCTGTGAATGCCTGTGTGTGCACATGTCTATGTCTGTGTGTTTGTGTCTGTTGTGTGCCTTGTCTGTGTGTGCCTGTACCTGTGACTGTGCACGTCTGTGTGTGACTGTGTCTGGGTATGTCTGTGCATCTGTTTCTGTGCCTGTGTTGTGTGTGTATGTTCGTGTGCACACAGTGAGAAGGGCAGAACAAAGTGTAACCCTCCACGTGTACCCAACACAGAGCGGCGTCCCCCTCCCCTTTTCCTCCTCCTTTCCCAGACTCATCCCGGCCCCTAACACCTGATGGAAGCAGCTGTGGACACCGACGGCCCCCTTCCGCGCCCAGCAGCCCCCAGACAGCACCTTCGACCTCAAACCCGCCTGAATCCATGCTCTCAGCCGGGGAGCAACTCGCCTTCCACCCTGGTGCCCACGGACAGCCCTGGACTCAGAAGGGATGTCCCAGGGCTCAGTCTCCGTGGACTGGTGGCCATGGTCCCCTCGTGCTCTCCCAAGCATGTCCCTCTTTGGGCTTCTGGAAGAAGTTACTCGTTGGAAGCCGCCATCCCGGCCCCTGATGATCTGGGCTCCCCTTCTCTGTGCCCGTCCCTGTCCTGTCACTTCTGCTCATGAAGGAGAAAGTCTGGCCGTTTCCCGAGACTCCACATCACTCTCTGTGTTCAGAGCCACCAGACTCTTCCTCAGTCAGTCTCTGCAGTCCATCCTCGAGCCCCACATTAAAGAGTCACCTTCCAAAAAGGATCCCTCGGGCACAAATTCTAATTTACAAAAACAAACCGCCCATCCTATTAGACGAGCGCACCCTCCCTTCTATCACACACACCGCACCAGGACAGCGATTCTCAGCCTCTGTGCCAGCACAGACCCCTGCTCTGAACTTTCCCTCCAACAATTCTAGAAGATTCCATCTGCCAGACTCTGCATACCACGTGACACCCTGTGCAAGCTTATCATGGAAACACAATTTCCCCTCTGCTTTTTAGATATTTAGAAGAGCTTTTGGAATCTCCCTACTGTGTTTTGGTGACTGTTAAGATCTTGGAGACCAGAAGTTATGAAGCACAAAAATCTAGACTACAGGTTGCCAATAAAGAACTGTGTCAGCTGGGCTCAGTGGCTCAGCCTGTCATCCCAGTGATTTGGGAGCCCGTGGGTTCAAGACCAGCCTGGGCAACGTGGTGAGACCTCATCTCCACAACAAATAAAAAAAATTAGCCAGGTGTGGTGGTGCCCACCTGTAGTTCTGGCTACTTGGAAGGCTGAGGCAGAAGGATCGCCAGAGCCTAGTAGGTCAATGCTGGGGTGGCTTCAAGCATGCCGCGGCATGCCAGACTGGGCGACGGAGTGAGACTCCAACTCAAAAAATAGAATTGTGTCTACCCAAGAAAGGGCTTGGAGAATGAGGGACAAAGAGAAGAGTCTTCATTCAAGCGAAATGGTCTATACAGTTTTACCCTCAGATGCAATCGAAGACTTCACTTTGGCCGTGTAGACAGACACACACACACAACCCACGGCTTCTCAGAGAGACCACAATGAGCATCAGAGAAGCCCCCTTCTCAACTGGCAGGTAGTAGGTTCCCTGAGGCTCTGTACAGCATCCCAGAGACACCGATTCACGCATCCCGCTGGGCAGACGTTCACCTCTTCAGGTCGGCTCAGCACGTGTCCCTCGGGGCCCGTGATGCCCAGATCCAGAATCCTCTGCTGTTCCTGGAATGTTAAAGAAAGTCAGGCTGTCAGGGAGAGCTGGACTTCACAGAGCTCTGATGGCCAGAGACCTGGACACGCAGTTATCCAGGCAAGATGGGAAAATGTCCCTGCTGACTGCTCTGCCCTCATGCCAAGCCCTTATGAAGTGCTCCCACCTGAGCAGCATGGATCGGTTAGTCTCCCAAAACCACTCAGCTGTTCCCTGGGATGCTGGTGGCTGGTACACTCCTGGCCCCTGGCCACAATAAAATGCCTGTGTGTGACAACGGCATTCCTGTATCCCACCCGAGGCAGCTGCATTACAGCACCAAGAAATGGCCTCTCTGAGGAATGACCGCCAGCCCTGCCAGACACACAGGGGCAGGCGTGTTACTGGCATCGACACCATGGGTAAGACCGTCAGCAGAGCCCCAGCCAGGGACACCAGGTCTCTGGTTTCCCAAGTTGGTATTAAGCTAGAGAAGTTGCCTCCTTTCTTGAGGTCCCCCCTTGCCCTCCAGGGGGTGAAGGAATGATGTCGAAGAACGCCCCGTACCTCTGCAATGATGTCGCCGTTTTCTGCGTGGACTTGGGCTATGGCGCCAATGTCTCGGATCACGCTCAGGACTTCATATATCTAAGAGAGAGGAGGGTGGCATCAGAAAGAGGGACTTCCATCTTCCTGTCCCTGCCAGCAACAATTCTGGGATGAGGAACAGGACACCTCGGCTGCTTCTACGAAGTCTGGTTTTTTGACATGCCTAAGAGCAATGTTTCTGCCACATCTGATGAAGATCCCGCCTCCCCCCATAACTATCAGAGGAGGCACCACTCAGCAGGACGTGGATAGAGTGAGAGGCTCCGGACTGACACCCTGGCTCTGTATCAGGTTTCCTGAGGAGGTTGAGTGTTCCTCGCAGGCCATCAAGCCAGGGTAGGTGGTTCTGAGACTCAGATCCGGAGCCCAGTGAAGCACCCGTCCTGCGGGCCAGGGCACTGGGTTCACACGCTTCCTTGAGACTAAATTACAGCAGTGACCTAATACCCCAGCCACTTCCCACGAAGCTAAGGGATGTATGTCCACAGGAGACTGTCCCCCCAGGCAGTGGCAGCAGCCCGCACCCACCAAATGTCAATGAGCCCATCCAGGGCTTCCTTACCTGGGAATCCGTTAGCTGGAAGCGATCTTTGAAGGCCATGTACACGAGGAAGGAATTTACCCCTAGAGGACAGACAAAACAGAGGGGGAGACAAGACTTTTCATAGGTAAGCCAAATAATCTGGAAGGAAACAAGAAAGAGATAATACTGTGTATGTGTGTGTGTGTGTGGAGACAGAAGAAGAGAGACAGATGGAGACACAAAGAGAATGATAAAACAAGTGGGGTAAAATACACACAACTAGTGAATGCAAGACCAGGATGCACGAGAATCCTTTTTAGTGGTCTTACAATTTTTCTGTAAGTTTAAAACTGTACCAAGCCAGGCTCGGTGACTCAGCCTGTAATCCCGCGCCTTTGGGAGGCTGAGGTGAGTGGATTGCCTGAGCCCATGAGTTCGAGACCCGCCTGGGCAGCGAGACCTCATCTCTACAATAAATCAAAAAATTAGCCAGGCGTGGGAGCACACGCCTGTAATTCTGGCTACTTGGAAGGTTGAGGCGGAAGGATCGCCAGAGCCCAGCAGGTCGAGGCTGCGGTGGCCGGGAGCGGCCACTGCACTCCAGTCTGGGCGACAGAGTGAGACTCCAACTCAAAAAAACAACAACAACAAAAAAAAACTGTATCACGGGCACAGTGGCTCACATTTGTAACCCCATCACTTTGGGAAGCTGAGGCAGAAGGGCTGCTTGAGTCCAGGAGTTCAAAACCAGCCTGGGCAATATAGCGAGACCCTATCTCAACAAAAAATCAAAAAAATCTACCAGGTGCGGTGGTGTGCCCTTGTAGTACCAGCTACTCAAGAGGCTGAGTCCGCGATGAGCCGTGATCATTCCACTGCACTCCAGCCTGGGTGATAGAGTGAGATACTGATTCAAAATATATATTTTTTGAATATATATTTGAATATTTTTAAGATATTATATATTGAATATTTTGAAAATATTGGATAGATATTAATTCAAAGTATATTTTGAATATATATGTATCTCTCTCAAAAATTACAAGTTCCCTATATTTATATACCAAAGTACATGGCAGCATCATTCACAATAGCCAAAAGGGAAGCAACCCAAGTGTCCATTCATGGATGGATTAAGCAAAATGTGGTCTATCCATACAATGGAATAGTAGTCAGCCTCAAAAAAGGAAAGACAATCTGATACAGGCTACACCACAGATGAGGCTTCAGGACATCATGGTAAGTGAAATAAGCCAGTCACAAAAGGACAAATACCCTATGATTGCACTTGTATGAGGTTCCCTAGAGGAGTCAAAATCACAGACAGATAGAATGGGGGTTGCCAGGGGCTGGCCAAGAGAAATGGGGAGTGAATGTGTAATGGGTACTGAGTTTCAGTTTTGCAAGATGAAAAGAACCCTGTGGATGGATGGTGGTGATGGCTGTAACATTATGAGTGCATTGAAAAACACCGAACTGCACACACACTTAAAAACCGGTTACGATGGTACATTTAACTTTATGTTTATTTTATCAGAGTTAAGTTTTAAAATTTTCAAAAGCTGCCTGTCCAAAGCAAGTCTGCTGTGACTTTAACAAGAAAGTGAATTAGAAGTCTCTGTCTATGAAGATCTGTAATAAATGCCTTTTCTTTGGCAAGCAGACTGCCTTCCATGCTGACTTTTGAGAAATGATTTTTTAAATAAAAATAGGTCCGTTAGTTCAACAAGCAGATGTCGCAACTCTCATCCTGGCGTCTTGGTGTGCTTGCCTCCCGAGGCACCGGCCCAAACATCCCTGCCCAACATCCATCACCGTTTTAAACAATCGGCCTGACAACCTCCTAGCCTTGGAGCTTAATTCAAGCCACCTGGGGGTGCTGGAAGCTGCCAGAGTTAAATGCCTCCGGACATCCTGGCCCTTCTCTCGTTGCCAGGCAACAGTTGCTATGGCAATCCTCCTGCCTGGTTTGGAGCAGATCCATCCTAAGGATTGAAAGTCAAATCCATTGGCCTCTCGGCATTCTCCAAAGTGATTAAGGTCAAAGGTTACCTATTTTCTTTTACGTAGGACCTTTGGGCTGGAAAGAATCTTCGAGGACACCTAGCCCAATACACTGATATGAGAAATTTCTTGAAAATTGCGACCTATAAAATTTAAGTGATGTACCCAAGTTCACACAGCTAGGCTGTGAAAGAACAAAGAAATAAATCTAAGATTCTAGTTGTTCATTCTAGGGGTTTTCTACCCTATCTATCCATGACTAGATTTCCCTCCTGCCATGTTATTCACAGCACATGGTGCTTCTGAGCCTAGAAGTTCCCGGTCCCTAAAGCCAATAAATGTTTCCTTGAAAGTTCAGATCCAATGAGGTCAACAACTGACCCCCAAAATCTAGGCTCCAGTTAAAACCCAAACAGACCCAGGAAGACGATGTGGTCTAGCTCTATCACCCAAACTGCGGGGGTTTCGGGTTGACGAGAGTCCCTGAGACATCACGAGGTGGTAAAGATTCCTCCAGCCTCCCTGTGAATTCTTCCAATCCTTGGAATTTTGCTCTCCAAAGAATTCTATGGAACCATAAAGACCCTCCAGGTTGTCTCAGGTGTGAAGTATCTCATCGTCCTCAAATTTACCCTTCATTCTTCCAGGTCTGTGGGAAGAGACCACCCAACACTCAAGACTCTGGCGAACTCTCCAAAGCCTGCTGAATGCTCACTGGGACGTGCATTTGTTATCCCTTGAGGACAAGTCACTATCTTGGCAGCCTCCACCTCCCGACCTGCCTACAGAGACCAGTTCCCTCAAACCAATAAGCTGCGAGCAGCTGTCACATAAGAACAGGTCCCGGCCATAGAGCTCATAATCTCTTATCAATGAAAGCTTGTGTTACTGCCCTGGGAAGGGCCACCTCCCATGAACACCAGGTGCGGCCAAAGCCCTCTCTCCTTGCTAGGGACAGGCACGGGCACGAGGCGTGAAAGGGATCTAGAAGCCTTGATCCCAGAGCATTTCTTCCCAGAGCTGTGCCCATTTATGAACTGGAACGGAAGCACCGCAGAGGGTAAACTGAGTCAGCGTGACCTACCGTGGTCCTTCACCAGAGCCTCCATCTCCTCCTGGATACCCTTGTGCCACTCAGTGATGTCCACGTGCAAAGAGTAGTCGCAGCAAGACTTGCTGTCGGCCCATTCCCGCCACTGGTCAAAGGCGGCCAGCAGGCTCGTCCCAGGTTCTGGAACCACATGGTCAACTAGGAAGAAACAGACATCTGGTGTCATCGCCCACAGCCTCGAGGGCCACGGGCCGGCTGGTGTTTTTTCCCACCTGAACCCTGAATAAGGCTTCTCGGGTTTGAAATCAAGGTGGTGATCTCTACAACCCGCTTCTGAGGATCCACTTGAGCCAGATGACCGCCCAAGAGGGAGAAAGCAGAAACTTGGCATTGAACGATGGCTCCGGTGAAACCACGCATGAACCGCCCAGATCTGATTTCCCAGCTCAAAATCCCTGAAAGTCTTGGGTGCCTTCCACAGACAATGAGTCCTTATGGACAAGGACTGTGTCGATTGGCTGGCCAGAGCAGCCAAACCTTTCTTTTTGTTGACAGCAGCTGGTGGGACGCCCCCCACCAGATGGCAAGAAACTGGAAGGTGCTGGAACCCAGCCACACAGACCCAGCCTTTCAAAAGTCCCTGGGCATGCCTGCTCTCTCGTTACTGCTCACATTTCGGCAGCATAATGCCACTTTGTCATTTAAGAGAAATCTTTCGTCTTAAGAGTTCAAAGCATTTTTAAACTGTAGCCATTGCTGTATTATTATTACCGAGGCAGGCTGATATGGAGAATAAAGGACTCTGGACTCAGGATGACCTGAGATTGTTTTGTGGCTCTCTACCATTTACCTGTAAGGGGCCTTGGGTAAACTCTTTAATTGCCACTGCCCTAAATTTCTGTGCTGGCTTAAAATAGGGATATTACCCAGCATATCTCATTTATTATGAGAATCAACCATATGACAGCCCCTTATGTAAATCCTCCAATGGCTTCCCTTGCTCTTCAGGTAAAGTTGTTTTTTTGTTTTTTTTTTTTTTAAATTTTAGATTCAAGGGATACACACACATATTCATTACATAAACATATTGTGTAGTGGTGAGGACTGGGTCTCAGGTGGTTCATTCCCCCGATAGAGAACATTGTGCCCCGTAGGTAGTTTCTGAACCCTAACCCCCATCCCCCGATTGGTGTCCCCAAGATAAAAAGTCCCCAACAAGGTCTGCAAGACCCTTCTTAGCCTGGTCCTGGCCTATCTCTACAACATGACCCTGGACCATCTCTCCCTGGCATTCTGCTCTCTAGCTACAAGGGCACCTTTCAATTCCTACTATAACAACCTGTTTCCTCTCACTCCAGGGCCTTTGCACCTGCTGTGGTCTTTCCTAAGTCTTGGAGAGCTCTCATGCAGTTAGCATGACGATGGGAGGTTACCCAGGACTAGCATTACTCATCTTCTGCACAGAAGCGCTAAAACACAAAATGAAATGATTTGTCCAAGGTCAAGTCGAGTTTGTGCAACAGTAAAGATAAAACCCAGGACTCTAGACGCCTAAGGCAATGAATCATTCCTCCCAAATAAAATATTAGGTTTTGTACACCCAGGTAAGCAGTTCTGATCTAGGAAAACGCCAGCCCAGGCACCGCTGGTGAGCTCAGATTTCTAAAAGGGATCAAATCTTGCAGCTGCTGCTAAACTCTGACCACCCGGGCTTGGCTTCATATATGTCAGAAATACGGCCATCTAAACTAAATTTTCCTTTGACAAAATTCACTTGTTTATAGATATCAGTCCATATAATTAAATGGGTGCACACTCATCTGATATCTGTAATATGATATTATCAAATAAAAGCAAAAATGATGTACGTTTTAAATGTAAGCCCTCTTCACCAGTAAAATGCTAACATATAAACCCTGACAAAATAACTTTCATTTTTCTTCCTAAATTGCATGCCACCCCACCCCCAGAAAACCAAAAAACACTTTGTAACAATCCGTTTGGACAGAATCGCCCTAGCCACTATCCTGGCTTCATCTCCCCAAATCATCCTTCAAAAGCAGCTAGAAGGATCTTCTTAAACATTTAACCAGATGCTATTTCCTGATTAAATAGCTGTTCATCGTCTTTAGAGTAAAATTCAAATGCCTCCCCTTGGTCCAGCCACATCTGGTCCTGGCTGACCTCTCCAACATACTCTGTGTTCCTGACCCCTCACCACCAATGACCAAATGGCCACCTCAACCCCTCTGACCCACCCAACTCCCAGGCATATCCAGGTCCCCCATCGGAAATTCATTCCGTTCCTTTTTTTATTTAAGGGACAGGGTCTCTCTGTTGCCCAAGCAAGAGTGCAGTGATGAGATCATGGCTCACTGCACTCTTGGACTGCTGAGATCAAGGGATCCTTTTGCCTCTGTCTTCCGAGTAGCTGGAACTACAGGCGAGAGCCACTACACCTGGCTAATTTTTTACAGACACGAGGTCTCACTATGTTGCCCAGGCAGGTCTCAAATCATGGGCTCAATTGACCCTCTCACCTCTGCCTCCCAAAATGATGGGATTATAGGTGTGAGCCACCATGCCTGGGCTATTCTACGTATTTATTATAGTCCATCTTCTTCCCCCGAAAAATTTTTAAGTTTATAAAGATATAAAAATTCAAAAAGGTTCGATGAACCAGAAATAGGATAAAAAATGAAGCAGAAGGAACATAAATGAGACCATGAATGAGGCATGTATATATATGTGTGTTTATATGTGTATATATGTGTGTGTGTGAAATACATTTGCATATATGAGGGTAGTACAGGCTTCCCCTACTAGGTAAGTGCTCTAGAAACCCATCAGGGTGGCTGGGTGCAGTGGTTCATGCCTGTAATCCCAGCACTTTGGGTGAATTGCCTGAGTCCAAGAACAGCCTCGGCAACTTGGCAAGACCTCATCTCTACAGTAAATCAAAAAATTAGCCAGGCATGGTGGTGCATAGCTGTAATTCCAGTTACTTGGAAGGCTAAGGCAGAAGGATCAGATCGCCTGTGCCCAGTAGGTCGAGGCTGCGGTGGCTCTGAGCATGCCACTGCACTCCAGCCTGGACAAAAGAGTGAGATTCCAACTCAAAAAAAAAAAAAGAATGAAACCCATAAAGATACCAACTAGCACTGTTGTAAGAGGCTGCGTTCAGTTTCAGTGATTTTTTTTTTTTTTTTGAGATTCTTTCAACACGTTTGTCCATTTCATAGTGGGTAATTTATGAGCGCACCTGCCCACACTGTGCTGAGTATCCAGCAGTTTTTGGTCAAAAAAAGGCATGATCCCCGTGTCCCACCCTCCCTATTCACCTGAGCTCGCCCTGAGCGATTTTTTTTGTTTCCCCAGATTAAAAAAGTCTTCAAAGGGAAATGTTTTGCCGATGTGGAAGAGATGAACCAAAAAAAACAGCAGAAGCACTAAAAGGCAACAGAATCAATGAGTTCAAAACCTGTTTTGGGCAGTGGAAAAAACATCTCGGTAGGTGTATGGCATCAAACGGAAAGGACTTCGAAGGTGATTGAAGTTTAAACATGTAAGAATAAATATTTTATAAATAAATTCCAGGTTTTTGGGGTCCCCCTTTGTATAGTGTGTGCACGTGTGTGTGTGTGTGTGTGTGTGTAGATAAATAGACTGCGTAGATAAACACATAACATTTAGCCTTACACATTGGCTAAATTTAGAGTTAGGCTCCCTAGCCAATGTAAACAAGGGAGCCTGATAAGGTCAGCACATCTATTTCCTTTGGGCTTAAAAAAACAAAATCTCTTCTCAGAAGGACAAGTACTACTGATACTAAGACCCGCATGCTCACAGTTATTGAATAATCCTTTCACCCAATGATTTATGGTAACCTTAAAAAAAACTTTAATATTATTAGATAAAATATCTAGTAGCATTTTAAATTTTTGCACATCCTTCAGATACCAGGTTCTGTTCTGAGCTATTTTTCTCTCTTTCTGTCAGTCCTAAACATACCAGCTTTCTGATACACTTTAATATATGGTGGCAAATGGTCCCCTTAAAATTTTTTACGAGAAGAAAAAACTTTATCTTTCAAAAGCCCACATGCTCCGTAAGCTTTCCTTCCCTTCTGAAATCTGAGGCTACAACATGCAGGACGCTCGTTTCCACCCCAAGGCTCGAGCACGACACCGAAGGCTGCTGTGTCCCACTCACCCTCGGACAAAGGACAACCTCAGACTGGTGACAGGACCCATGAGCCCAAATCCCGAGGGTGTGTCGGATCACCTGGTGCTGGACTCCTCAGACTCCAGGGTGTAAAAGAATGATGCGGAACATTTATTAAAACACAGCTGTCATCCCAGCACTTTGGGAGGCCGAGGCAAGCGGATTGCCTGAGCCCATGGTTCGAGACCAGTCCAGGCAACTTGGCGAGACCTCATCTCTACAATAAAAATCAAAAAATGAGTCGGGTGTGGTAGCACATGCCTGTAGCTCTGGCTACTTGGAAGGATCGCTGGAGCCCAGCAGGTCGACGCTGGGGTGGCCCTGAGTGTGCCACTGCACTCCAGCCTGGGTGACGGAGTGAGACTCCAACTCAAGAAAAAAAAACATAGGTTACCAGACCTCACCCCAGAGTTTCTGACTCTGCAGGCCCAGGCTGGGACACGGTCATCTGCATTTCTGCATCTGATCAGCAACCCAGGAGCTACTGAGTCTGCCTTGGCCCACTCTGAGCTTCACTACCTGAGGGCAAATCTCTTCCCGTGGACTCCTCCCTCCACCTCCCTTCGCTGTTCACAACAGCAGCATCACTTACAAAAACTACCAGGGTCCCAGGATGCAATCCCGCAGGCCCCTTCCACCCCCAAAACTGGCTCCTGGAGTTATGAACCCTCAAAATCTCAGGACCCAGACACAGCCGAACACTTCAGGGAAATAAACATGTTTCCTCTAAGAGCTAACGACACTCAGAAACGTGTCTCTGGAAGGTCTCCACATGTTTTCCCACAGTTCTTTCCACTGACGCTCTCCTGGGAAAAGAACAGGGCAGAATGTCACCATGACTTCCGGAGGGAGCCGAGTCCCCACAAAAACAGAAGCTTCAAAATGGCTTGTCCAGACCTCACAGGCCTTTTCGCCGTGACCTTTCTAAGCTATCAGTCCCTGCAGGAGGGCAAGCTCACCAACCCAGCTATCCA